TTCTAGTAGGGGGAGGGAGGCTATGGGAGGGTGCCATCTGGGAAGTGGGTGTATAGTTGAATAAGATGGTTTGGGATGTTCTGTGTGATATAAAAAAAATTTTTTTAATAATTTCAAATTTTAAAAAAAAAGACATTTTGAGCCAGGTGTGGTGGTGCATGCCTTTAATCCCAGCACTTGGGAGGCAGAGGCAGAAGGATCTCTGAGTCTGAGACCAGCCTGCTCTACATAGTGAGTTCCAGGCCAGCTGGGGCTACAAGGAGACCCTGTCTCAAAAAGACAAAAAAAAAAGAAAGGACATTTTAGGGGAGAGCTGGAGAGATTGCTCGGTGGTTAAGAGTGCTTGCTGTTCTTGCAGAAGACCAGAGTTGAGTTCTCAGCATCCATGTCAAGCAGCTCACAACCAACCATAACTCCAGCTCCAGATACCCACTTCTGGACTCTGTGGGCACTTCGTGAACATGTAACTCTCATACATACATAAACGTAATTAAAAAATTTTTTTAATGTTTAAATTTTTTAGCAGGGTATGGTGGAGCACACCTTTAATCCCAACACTCGGGAGGCAGAGGCAGGTGGATCTCTGAGATTAAGACCACCCTGGTCTACATAGTGAGTTCCAAGCCAGCTGTCTCAACCTCTCCAATCAAAAAATCTTTAAAATTTTCTTGTTGTTGTTGAAGGACTAAGGGGTAGAGGAGTAAAGTGAGAGATAATGAAAAGAAATCTAAAGTTCCTGTGAGCTATCTGTTCAAGGGGCAGGGGCATAGAAACTCACCCAGTGAGTGGCAACAAGTGTGCTGCAAACAGAGGGCTGGCCCATCACAAGCAAAACCTGACTTCTTTCTCCTACCTGACCTATAGGTGCCAGAGGAGGCTGACTATGAAGCAGTGCCTGTGGAGGCCTATGGGTTGGCCATGCTTCGGGGCATGGGATGGAAACCTGGCGAGGGCATTGGCCATACTTTCAATCAGTGAGTTAGGGGAGGGAGTGATGAACAGGTGGGCATGAACAAGATTCCTGTGGTGACTGCCAACCCAGAACCATCCAGGTTGGAAGAGAGGGCACATTATTATGCTTACCAGTTTAGTAGTTTTTCCACTACTCTCAAATTCTGTTTTCCAAGGCTGGAGTTGTAGCTCAGTGATCTCTGTGAGATCCAGGCCAGCTGGGGCTACAGTGATACCTTCTCAAAAAAACTCATGAGACATGATTGTAGGCTTCAGCCCCTAGTAAGCAGAGACTAAACATTTACTATTATCACACAGACTTATAATCCCCTTCATTGAGCTAGGTATGTAACCCAGTGGTAGAGTGCTTGCCTAACATGTAAAAGACCCTAAGTTTCATCCCAGGACTGAAAAACATACCCCTTTGCAGTTACAAAGAATTCCTAAGCCATTTTTCAGTCAAACATGACTGGTATTGAACATTCTGTACTCTCTTCCTTGCTCAGTATACATATTCATGATTTCGTCTCTAGCGATATTAGTATATTTGTTTACAGGGACCTAACTTGGAACTCACTGTACACACTGTGTAATAGATAGTATGTGCAACAAATTAATTCAATTGAACCAAATGAAATTGCTTTTTTGGGGACTGGAAGTGTGGGTCAGTGGTAGAATATGCTTAATATGCATGTGGCCCTGGATTTGACCCTTAACATGACAATAAAAGGAAAAGAAAAATTAGCATTTTGGTAGCTTAAGAAGTTCTGTGATATCAGGAAATGCAATCTAAATATTGATAGGAGACTGGTGAGATGGCTCATCAGGTAAGGGTGCTTGTATCTAAGCCTATTGACCTGGGTTCAGTCCCTGCCATAAGAGATTGAATTCACATGGTAGAAGGAGAGAATCAAGTCCACAGGTTGTCCTCTAACCTCCATACACAGATCATGGTACATGCAAGCATGCACACACACATATGCATATATACACAAATGTAAAAAAAAAAAAAACCTAAATATGTATGGAGCAGGGTGGGTTTGGATGGCCAGGAGGGAAATAAAGCATTGAAAACTTGTATCCCCCACAAGCCTGTATTCTTCTCTGCAGAGTAGTGAAGCCCCGAGTCAACTTGCTGAGACCCAAGGGGTTAGGACTGGGTGCCAACCTGTTAGGGGCCCAGGCCTTGACCTCCGCTGGCTCCTACCACCTGTCAAGACCACATGGGGAGCAAGAGAAAGATAAGGAAGGCCAGCCTCAAGGGTTGGTGCCTGGAGGAGCTGTGGTGGTCCTTTCTGGCCCTCACCGAGGCCTGTATGGGAAGGTAAGGAACCAAGATAGCCCTGGAGCAAAGGTGGCAAAGATTAATTTGAGGGCCAGAGTGAGGAAGAATTGTGGATAGAAAGGTACCAGTCAAGACAGGTGTACATGCCTGTAATCCCAGAGACTAAGGAGGGAAGATCACAAATTCAAGACCCACCTAGGCTACATGGTTCAAAAGTAGCCTAGGTAACTTAGTAAGACCCTGTCTAAAATAAAATAAAATTGTAAAGAGATAGGGATATAACTGTGATAGAGCACCTAATGGGGAAAAACATGAAAAAAGAAGCAGGTGTATACCTATAGCACTAGAAGGCTGAGGCAGGAGAACTGCCAAGGGTTCAAGGCCAGCCTAGGCTACATAACAAGGCCCTATCTCAAGGCCCTGAAAACAGGTCATACTTGGGAGACTGAAACAGGAGGATTATTGAAAATTCAAGGCCATCCTGAACTATGGAGTGAATTCAAAGCCAACCTGGGATACATAAGTAAAACCCTATCTCCAAGAACCAAAAGAAAAGTAGCTGGGGAGATAGCTAAGTGGATAAAGTGCCTGATATAGAAATGTAAGGATGGGCCTTCAGATCCCCAGAACCCATGTAAAAAGCAGGCGGGTGTGGCAGTTGCTTGTAGTTCCACCACTCATGAGGAAGAGATGGGATCCCAAGGGCAAGCTAACTGTCAAAACTAGTCTGAATTGGCAAGCTCCAGGTTCAGCAAGAGACCCTGCCTCAGTAAGTAAAGTAGAGAAAAATCAAAGAAGAGATCTGATGTCAACTTTGAACCTCCACACTCTTGCACATACACGCATGCTCACCCTCACGTGTATTCACAACACATGCAAACACATATATACATGCACGTATACTACACACACATCAAAAAGGAAGGGAGAAGTGCAATTTCAGTACCTAGGAATCTGAGACAGAATTGCAGCAAGTTCAAGGCCAATCTGGATTATATGACTATACTGGGCTATCTTGGACCCTCTCTCAAAATGGTGGCAGGGGTGCTGGAGAAATAGCTCAGTGGGTAAAGTGCCTACCATGCATGAAAGCATGAGGACGTTAGTTTGGATCCCCAACACCCATGTAAAAGCTAGACGCACATACATCTATAATCCCAGCACTGGGGAGTGGAGACAGGTGAGTCTATGAAGCTCATTGGTTAGTCAGTCTGCCTAACTGAATTGATGAGCTCCAGGTTCACTGAGGGATGATTTTTTTTAATGTGTGTTAATATCATAGTCTTTTAAATTTTTTTTTAATGTGTATGCATGTATTGCCTGCGTAGGTAAGTGCACCCGTGTCGTGCAGTGCCCTCGGAGAACAGAAGAGGCTGTCGGATCCCCTGGGACTGGAGTTACGGACAGTTGTTAGCTGCCATGTGGGTGCTGGGATTCGAACCTAGGTCTTTCTGCAAGAACAACCAGTGTTCTTAACCGCTGGGCCATCTCTCCAGCCCCAATATCATAGTCTTTATACCATTTCCATCCCTCCATATATAATATAATGAGTCCATTCAGTGGTGCTCCTGAGTACCTGTTTTTAGGGCTACCTACTTGGGATTAGATAACCTCTCAAGGAGCTGGTCCCTGGAGAAAAAATATTTTCCTTCTCTCAGCATCTGTTGATTGCCTGCAGCTCTTCATTTGAGAGAGATTCTGTCTTAAAAAATAAGGTAGAAGCCTTTAATCCCAGCACTGGGGAGGCAGAGGCAGGGAATTCTAGGCCAGATGTGGCTACAGGGAGACCCTTTCTCAAAAAACCAAAAAAAGTAAGGTGGAGGGGGCATACCTTTAATTTCAGTACTCAGAAAGCAAAGGCTGGTGGGTCTACATAGAGAGTTTTAGGCCAGTGAGTCCCCGTATCAAAAAAAAAAAAAAAGTAGAGTGGATTGCAATTCAGGAAGACACCCAATGTCAACATCTGCCCTTTATACACATATGCATACATCACATGAACATGTATATACACTACACACAAAGATGTCTGGACCTTGGAATCTGCTGGGCGGGGGAAGACACAGGAACCTATACCTGGTTCCACTTCTCAGGGGTCAGTTTAGTGGAGGACACAAAGGAATCATGCCTGGTCCTAGCTGTCAAAGGTCACAGCATGATGGGAAAGACACAAAGTTCAAACATGTTAGAGGTAAGGCCTGGACATCTTGGACCTAGGAATGTGGCTGTAATCCATTCACCCCCTACCTTACCCCTGCCTTCCCACCTTAGGTAGAAGGCCTTGATCCTGACAACGTACGTGCCATGGTTCGGTTGGCAGTAGGCAACCGCATTGTTACCGTTAGTGAGTACTGCCTGCAGCCTGTCTCACAGCGGGAGTTTGATAGCAACGCCTTGCATCCAGGTGAGACTCTTACACAGCAGGGAACTTGGAGAAGCATGGGGGTAGGCAGAGCCTGTCTCCTGATCTGTAGGGAGAAAGAAGAGTGTGTGACTTCCAGTCAGGGGTCAGGAATGAGAAGGAACAAAAGTACTTTATTGTTTTGTGGTACTGGGACTAGAACTCAGAGCCTGGAGCATGCTAAATGGACTCTACCATGGAGCCACACCCTCAGCCTAGTTTATTCAGTTTGAGAGAGAAATGATCTAGTGCCCATGTCTTTTGCCTCTCTATCGGGTAAGTAATGGTGTATAAACCAGTTTCCTACCTTAGGAGGGTCCTTGTCTATTTGGAGTGATGGCATTCTCTTTTGCTAAACAATGAGACTTGCTAGGGTTAGGGTGTGACTAAAAGGGAGGCAAACAAAACAGTGGTAGTAGTAGAAGGAGTGGTTTGGCATGTAGCTCCTATTCTGACATGGGCGCTAGGAAGCTGGCTATGGTGAATCCTCACTGGGGGCAGGATGGTTGAGAGGAGCATCCTGAAGGAAGTGGAATTGCGGAAGGGGAAAGGCCTTTTCTCTCATACTCCTAGAAAAGCTGGATAGGGAACAGGGACCTTTGACAGGAGGGCAATGGCTCTTGAAAGGAAATGCCAATGAGACCGTGAGGCTCTCCGTGCTTTCCCCATACCCTCTTAACAGGTCAAGCAAGGAAAACTCCCACAGAGCAACAAAACAGTACAACCTTGTCATCAAAGGCCCACCAGAATCAGGATCTCACCATCCAGGAGGACTCAGAGTGGAGGAAGAAGGATTCAGAGAGGAAGCGGAAACACCCTCCAGACCGGTGGGATCCTGGGCAGGAGCCCAGGCCTCTGGGCTAGAGGAAGAAGATGGGGCTGGGGGTGGAGGGGCTCAAGTAGTAAGGGAAGACTTCTAAGGCCAGGCAGGGTGTAGAAGGAATCGGGGACAGCTGTGGGGGTGGCTTCACAGCACAGGCCTTTAAAAGTAGGCTGGCTGCAACATGTATGTGACAAAGAACAAAGCCTGATTCTGCCTCTCCACAGACAGGATAGACCTGTGGCCAAGAGTGAGAAAATAGCCCCCAGGAAGAAGCACTGGTTGCACAGAGACCTGCGTGTGCGGTTCATAGACAAGTTGTATAAGGGTGGCCGATATTACAACACAAAGGTATGAACCCCACAGCCTGAGTCCCCTTCCTCACCCAGGGACTGGGGCCTCTTAATTCTTTTAACATCTCCCTCTTCACCCATCTCCCTAGATGACAATTGAAGATGTCCCAAGCCCAGATACCTGTGTGTGTCGGACAGATGAGGGCCGAGTTCTGGAAGGTGAGTCCGAGCCAGTGTATCTGGGTTGTTCCTATCCCAAAGGATAATCAAGAAAGGTGTTGATTCTAGCACTTAGGAGGCTGAGGCAGGATTATCACATGTCCAAGGCCAGTCTGAATTACAAGTTGTAGATCAGCTTGAGCTACAGAGTATGACCCTGTCTCAAAAAACCAAAAAAAAAAAAAAATTAAAAAAAGAAGGGTACCTGAAGCCAAGAGCTGGAAAGTAGGGCAGAGTTCAGGTTCTTTGCAAAGCCCAGCATCCTCTTCCAGAAGAGATGCCCTACATACCTTCTGTGTCAGATTGGCATAGAAATGACTACTTCTGCCTCTAGAGAGTCCCTTTGCAGGGAGAGGGGTACTGAGCTCACACAGCAAGGCAAGCTGAGATCAGGCCTACAATATATGGTTTCTGTATGAAACACTCCCTGTATGATAGTTATTTCTATGAACTACTCCTTGGTTTTCTCACCTGTGAAATGGTTATGGTGGGACTCCATCTGTCTTGAGGAAATAAGAGTGGCTATAGGGAACATTGGCAAAGGCCCTTCTGACAGGACTTGGCCAGGCTCACTGTTGCTATGGACCTCATTCCTTCTCCCTCTTCTGTAGGCCTGAGAGAAGACATGTTGGAAACCCTGGTTCCCAAGGGAGAGGGCAACCGTGTGATGGTGGTACTGGGTCCACATGCTGGAAAGGTGAGTCCCAAGCCTGGAAACAGGAGTCTGGGGATCATTCAAGGGATGTCCCAGGACCTGGGCTAGCCTTGCTGACATCACCCCATCCCTCAGGTGGGACTTCTTATGAGTCGGGACAGAGCACGGAGTTGGGCTTTGGTACAACTTCGAAGAGAGAATCAGGTGGTGGAGCTCTACTATGATGCCATATGCCAGTACATGGGTCCTGGTGACTCAGATGAAGACTGACAACATTAGACCACTACCATCACTCAAGCTGTGTAGTAATCTATAACAGATGCCTTTGTGAAGATGGGAGATAATCATTCCATCCTCCCTCGCAGGTCAGGGACAGGGGGATGAGTAAATGTACCAGAGTTTTACCAAAATTTAAAGTATAATAAAAACCATTTTAAATACTTCATGGAAGGATGAAATTATGACTAGTATGCTAAACTATGAGTTCAGCTGGGAACTGAGCTGACTGAGGTGGATATATTTCATTTTTTAGCCTCACTTCTCTGCTCAGGGTGCAGGACAAGTTAAATTACCATTCAGTCCAGAGCTCACTCTTGGAACATAGAAACTATAATATCTGCTCCTAGAACAGACACTAGAATCTTGAGTGCCACGTCTCACAACTTCCTGAGTTTGGATCTTAAATGGCCCATATCTTAAGGGATTCTTGCCTAGGATGATGCTAGTGGCAGGTACTGTTGACCTTTGGAAGATGAGGCCTGGTAGATATTGCTTAGGTCATCAAGACTGTACCCTTTGAAGGGATTGTGGGCCACTTTCTCTTCCTGTTCTCTGTTTCCTGGCTCCCAAGGTGAGCAGTTTTACTCTGTCACAATATTTCCACCATGATGCACTACCTTCCCACAGTACATGTGCAGAACAATGGTGAAAATGATCATGACTTGGAACCTCTAAAACTGAACCAAAATAAACCTTTCCTTCTTATAATTTAAATGATGTCAGATAAGGGAAAACTGACTACTGCACCCAGTGAGAACTCTAGTAGTGGCATCTGTTTCCCCCTGGATCCAGGGCAGACGTCCAGGAAATCCTCTGAACTAGTGACACCTGAAGAGAAAGGGGGACTTATACCCACAAATGGGATTATCTAGCTCTAATTTACAAAGGAGCCAGTTCACTTTTAGTCTCAGTGGGTTGGCTTGGAGGTTGAAAGTTATTTTTAACTCAGAGTTTTTCTGCTTGCCCTAGATGACTATATTCTAAAAAAGGTTATTGTCGAGCTGGGCATGGTGGCGCATACCTGTAGTCCCAGCACTTGGGAGGCAGAGGCAGGCGGATCTCTGTGAGTTCAAGGCCAGCCTGGTCTATATAGTGAGCTCCAGGCCAGCTGGGGCTACAGGGAAACCCTGTTTCAAAAGGACCAAAAAAAAAGATTATTGTCAGAGTCATGAACTCTTTTTCTGTCTAATGGCCAGAGATACAAAATTAACAAGAGAAGTCAGAGTTTTAGACACAGTTGTTTCTAAATTAACCCCAATGCTTAAGTCATTCCTGTAATAAATGGTATTTGACTTAGATCTAGGCCCCAGGTAAAAATATCAGAGTGTGGCACATACTGAAAAGAATCAAAACAGCCTAGAACAGGATAATAAAGATAAATGGGGTTTAGCCAGGCGTGGTGGCACACGCCTTTAGTTCCAGCACTTGGGAAGTAGAGGCAGGCGGATTTCTGTAAGATCAAGGCCAGCTGGGGCTACAGGGAGACCCTGTCTCAAAAAGACAAAAAATAAAAAATAAATGGTGTTGGAGCTCAGTGTTGGAGCATTTACCTAGCATGTAGCCCTGAATTCCATCCCTGGCATCACTCAACTCTACAGTCAAAATAAACAGATCTAGAAAAGACATAAATCACTAAGTGTGCTGGTCCACACTTGTAATACAGCACTTTGGAGGCTGAGATAGGACGATTGCCTTGCACTCCAGGCTAATCTGACCTATGTAGTAAGACTACATCTCAAAAAAATTTTTTAAAATACACCAGATGTAGTGGCATACATCTTTAATCCTAGCACTCAGGAGGCAGACGCAGGTCAGTTCAAGGCCAGTCTGGTCTCCATAGAGAGTTCCAGGCCAGCCAGGGCTACACAGTGATATCCTGTCTCAAAATTAAACAAAAAAGAAAGCAGGGAGTTACCCAGATCAGTGGTCATGTGCCCAAGAAAGTGTGATTTAGAAAATCTCCCAAAATACTATAATGTAGAATATAATAATTCTATCACTTGGGATCTAGTAGGATTACAAATTCCGGGTCAGCCTGAAGAACTACATTGCAAGACCCTACTTCAAAATACCAAGAGCTAGGGATGCAGCTGTGTTAAAGCACTTGCCTAGTGTGAACAAGGCCTAAATTCTATCTCTGGCACACACAAACTACAGTTGCTACAGTCCAGTATCATTTGCCATCCCTAATTCCACAATTTCATCTGTTTTCAAAATTGACTAAAAAGGGTTGCTAAGGCAGACAGTGGGGCACAAACCACTTCCCCCAGGAATTTGCTATGTAGCTGAGGCTGGCCTTGAATTCCTTCCCAAGTGATGGGATATATTGCTATACCAGGCTATTTTTGGGAGTTTTGGAGGGGGAGGGTTGAGACAAGAGTTTTATGATATATCACTGGCTGATATGGAATTTTTTATGTAGATCAGGCTGGCCTCAAACTCCAAGAGATCCACCTGCCTCTGCCTCCTAGAGTGCCAGGATTAAAGACATGTACCACTATGCCCAGCCTATTTTTGTTTTTTGAGACAGGCTTTTTCCCAAGTGCTAGAAATACATGTGTGTGCCACCTCGTGTAGCTGCTTCAGACTTCCTGGAACTTATGTTTCTGCCATTCCTGCATTTGAAAATGAGACCTGAGGTATGCGTGGTAGCACTTGCCTTTAATCTTAGCACTCAGTAGCCCTAAGTGGCCTGGAACTTGTTATGTAGACCAGGCTGGCCTCCAACTCACAGAGCCAGCCTGCCTCAGCCTCCCAGGTGCTGGGATTAAAGGCATGTACCTTTAAGAAAAATATTGAGCCAGGTGTGGTGGCGCACGCCTGTGGTCCCAGCACTTGGGAGGCAGAGGCAGGCGGATCTCTGTGAGTTCAAGGCCAGCCTGGTCTACATAGTGAGTTCCAGGACAGCTGGGGCTTACAGGGAGACCCTGCTTCAAAAAGACCGAAAAAGGAAAAAAAAAGAAAAATACTGAAATCTGTTGCTAGACCTGGTGGCAGAGGCCTATAATCACTTTTTTTGAGATAGGTTTTTATGTATCCCAGGCTAGCCTCTTACTCCTAATTCTCCTGCCTGCTCTTCCCAAGTGCTGCAATTACAGGCATGCATCTACTGCCAGGCTGTACCCAGCCCAGCATCTCTGTTCTCTCCCAAGTCTCCAGAAGTTTCCCTGGCAGGGTACCAGTTCTGTTAAAAACTACCCAGGGGCATGACAAGATGGCTCAGAAGATAAAGGCACTTGTCACCCAATAATGCAAACCTGAAACTTAAGTCCAATCCCCAGAACCCATGTAAAGGAAAGGTGAGAACAACTCCACAAAGTTGACCTCTGGCTTCAATATGTGTGTCGTAGCATACACACATAATAAGTAAAATTCTTAAATTATCTTTTTTAAATTTTATTATTTTTATGTATTATTTTACATGTATGGGTGTACTGCCTGCAGGTGTAGTGCCTGTGGAGGTCAGAAGACATTGAATCCCCTGGAACTGGAGTTAACAGACAGTTGTTAGCTGCTATGTGGGTGCTGGGAATTGAACCCAGGTCCTCTGCAAGAGCAGTCAGTGCTCTTAACAGCTGAGTTATCTCTCTCCAGCCTCTTAAATTATCTTTTAAGAAGCTGTCCAGGGCCAGGTGTGCTGGCACATGCTTTCAGTCTCATCACATAGGAGGCAGATGCAGGCAGATCACTGTCAGTTTGAGGCCAGCCCTGTCTACATACCAAGTTCATGGTCAGCCAGGGCTACATAGTGAGACCCTGTCTTCAAGACAAAAAAACTACCGAGATGTGACTCAGAAGACTCAAAAATCACATCTTTTGTGACAAGTCACTGATGAGGTAATAGGGGCAACTGTGGAGGCCAAGCCTGCCTCCCTCATTTTAACACCACTCATTGAATGTTCATTCTGTGTTAAGTATACCTCCAATGCCTGACTTACAAACAAGACTCTCAATAAATGCATGTTGAAGAAATGAATGAGGGATTTTTAATGTCATAGCTGAGCACCATAATGTGCCTTTGCTGACCCAGCTACCCAAAGAGGCTGAGACTGAATGATTAGTTCCTAGAGTTCAAGGCCAACTTGGGCAACATACTAAAACCTCATCCCCCAAATAATGTCAAATCTTAGTATTTTTTGAGAATCTTCTAAGAGCCTTACATGTATTAACTCTTTTATGGTACTGAGGATTGAACCTAGGGCATTGTGATGGATAGCTTTGGTGTCAACTTGACACACCTGGGTTGAGGGAGCCTCAATTGGGGAATTTCCATGTGATGTGGGAGGGCCCAGCCCACTGTGGGTGGTGCCACCCCTGGGCAGGTAGACCTGTGTTGCATAAGAAAACAGGGTGAGCAGGGGCCAGGGGAGCAAGTCAGTAAGCAGTGATCCTCCATGGCCTGTGCTCCAGCTCCTGCCTCCAGGTTCCTGCCCTAAAGTTCCTACCTTGGTGTGTTAGGGTTCTCCAAAGAAACAGAACCAGTAGAATGAATATATATGTATAGAGATTTATCAGCTTAGCTCACAGGATAGAATCCAAGTAGTCCAACAATGGCTGCACCACACTGGAGTGGCTGAGAAGCCCTAGTCGCTCAGTCCATGAGGCTGGATGTCTCAGTAGTCCCAATCTGGTGCTGGAGGTCTGACGAATTCCAAAAGATCAGCTAGTCTTCAGTCTACAGCAGCAAGACGAACTCACCAGCGAGAGAGAAGGCAAGCAGCAAGAAGCCAGGCATTCTCCTCTGCCATGGCCTTTTATACAGGCTGCCATCAGAAGGTAACACCCACATTTAGGGTGTGTCATCCAGCTTCATATGATCCAGTGAAGAAGATCTCCTGTCAGTTAATCCCAGATCCAGTCAAGTTGACACCCAGGATTAGCCATCACACTTGGGCTCCCTGATGAACTGTGACCCAGGAGATGTAAGCTGAATAAACCCTTTCCTCCCCAAGTTGGTAGTGGTTAGAGTGTTTTGTCACAGCAATGGAGAAACAAACTAGGACAGGCATACTAGATCTACCACTGGGCTACACCCTCAGCTCATTCTTTTTTTAATAATTTATTATTTGTATTATTTATGTGTATGAGTGTATTGCCTACATGTATGTAAGTGCACCCTTGTCATGCAGTGCCCACAGAGGTCAGAAAAGGCTGTTGGGATCCCCT